AAACTCTAACACTATGGTAATGGAAGCCGCTGATTTCGAGTATGAAATTTCCGCTTTACTGTAATGCTTCTTTCCAAAGTTATCCCAAGTAAACCGTAATAACCGAATTCCCAGTATCAGTTTGAAATGTGATTACACCTTCAAAAAAAGCTAAGAACTCGTAAAAAGTTGTGCAATGGAATCAGCGTGCGCGAAAATCTTAGTACACGATTTTTCAACCTTTTTGAAAAAATTTTGTCAGATGGCATATTTCATAATGGTTCCACGTGCTGGAAGTTCTTACCGTAATCCTACAGTAACGAAGAGCGATCGGCGATTCGATCAATACTGTGAACCTAAGTTAAAGCTTCCTCTACACAGTGACGCTTGATTGGCCAAAAAAGACCCATTGGGAAGAGAGATATTGACGATTGAAAAGTGTGTACTTACTTTTGGGACACCCTGTATATCAAATTTTATGTAAGTTTCCTAGAAACAAATTTCTATTGTGTACTTGCAAATTTGACTTCCACCGTTGTTCAACCTGTAATACCATAAACGATTCTAGCTGGGATTATGCTTGCTAAGGCATATGCAAGAATTTCAAAAGATCAAAGCATCGGAGAAGCTAGTGAATCATTAGCCCATATGGAATTTTATAACACTATACTAGCATTCTCCCAATTGACGTTTGTGAGACATAGCGAAATGTGTGAATGATTCACAAAAAACCAAAAACGAGAAATCCACTACTATCGTCATTGTAAAGCCACTAAAATTTCTAAGTAATTGTCATACAAGGTTTTCTTCATTTTTCAGAAATTTTACGCTTTCGTCAAATGCCAACAAGCGTATATAATACATTCACAAGCTATTTTAATTTTGCGCCTGCAAATAAGTTCAGACTCCCTGTTTGAATTTTCTAGTATGATTGCTTATATGCGTTTGCTCATTGTTTTTCCTCTAACGTTATACTTGATTTATGTTATATTTCTCATCTCTCAGAGCGAATTTCAGCTTTTCTATGGGCGTGTACCAGTTCATCGTAAATGCTCGCCGACTATCATCCTTCAACATGCCTCAAACATTTTCAATTGTAAACCAAGCACGATCTCGCTTGCTTATGGAACTTTTTTGCACTCGATAATGAGATAATGAGTGGATATGCTTTCCACTACCCACTATTTCTAGGTGCTACCCCAAGGACTCGAATTTTGACCAGGCCAAGATTTCTGGTAAACTTCATCTTATTTTTTGGAACTGTCCGTATTGCCCAAGCTTCTTTCCTAGCTTCATGGGTCTTAAATATGCCTTGCCTACTCCATACTGAAATTCGATTGTTGTGCTGATTTCATAATTCTATGTAATCAGGGAAAATAGCGTGGACTAGCAGAAGACAGACGTGGATTTCAACGATGCACACCAACGTAATCATACATCGGAACATTCTGGAAAAGGTGGATACGGTGAATTTTTGAAGACTAAAAGGAAAGAGTAGCTCGCAAGGAGAAACTGGAGTTCCCGAAAGCATGGGCTGCATATTCATCTTAACAGGGAAGATATATGACTCGCAGTGGAATTTCCCTATGTGATGTATATCATCCGAAAGGTCTTTGATTGCTGATTTCAAAACAGACTTCCTTATCTGCTTATCGGTTCATTGAACAAAGTTACAGGCATTTGTTTAGCCTCATGACACTGATTTTGTTGCTTTTTACAGGACTATGGCGCCAGAGTAACTCCAAAACTATTCCCATCATTTTTTAATGTACAAAAAACATATCTCAGACATTTGGGTGTGTAACATTTGACCAAATTCGCATTTATTCGAGTTTAGATCATTCACACAATACCTAACCATGCAAACTGGAAGCGGAAAATTACTTGTAACTTTGATCAATAACCCGATCAGATAAGGAAGTTTGGTTTGAAATCAGCACTAAGACATTTTGTTGCGGCTCGGGGCTCAACACCCCCTTGCTCGCTCGGCTGCTAACACAATCCTGCTCCTACTCCGCACATTCTAGCGCCGGTTGGCCATTCCGACGCGATAGACAGATACCCCGCTGGGTGGCGACAAATCATAACAACAAATGCGCGACTAGATTACTTAAATTTATCTAAATAACAAACACTACACTACAAAAGAACTATTATACGAAAATCTAAACTACGAAAAAGGAGAAATACGGGACGAATCCGCCTCGTCCCAAGCCGCCGATCATCACCAAGTTAAATCTAAGCGTAATGTCAGGGAATCCCGAGGGTCGACCGCTTACTCGCCTCCGCGTAGGACAGGTACGAGCCCTCTCCACTCCTGGTACAACTTTCCTCGCGCGTTAGCGCGGCACAATCCAAAAGCTCCAACAATCACTCTGCTCGCAAGAACCTCATCCACGGGAGCTTGCTGGGGTAGCTGCCAAGCACGATCGATAAGAATACGTGAGTGAAAACGAGGTCACCGAAAACAAAGAGGCATATGGCGCGCGTTGCGCCGCCTTATATACCCCTCGACTTGGCAACGAGCCCAGCGAGGAGAGGTCCGGGCGCGAAAGCAACAGCGCGCCCGATCCAGCGGCTTGCAGTGCTCCCGGCTCCTGAATCGAGGAGTGGCTTGCATCGCGCGAGTCGCGACACCTTTCGAATGATATACGTTTCATAGGGCAACTCCATTGCGAGTCATATACCTTCCCTTGTTATAGCTTTTACAGCATTCCCAGCGTATTGCTCCATAAAGGGCACCAGTACACTTTGCGGCTTATAAAATATTCAGAAAAATCTGGGATATTTAGAATAACTCACTGGGAATATTGGAAAATACAACTATGTTTGTTTTGTGCACCGTGGAAGGGGCAAAGAACGCCGAATTTTTTCTATAAAAACAAAATGAGGAAGGAAATGAGGAAGGATTACTTGCGATGGCGCCTAACATTTCGCGTAGGTGACTGAAAGCTGGGCAATCACAATTGTGCCCTCACATTTTGCCCAAAAGAACAGAACATCAAATCATTTGATGATACATCTGGTATTTTGGTATTCCTCATCTGAAGAATGACAGCTTATCAACGAACTTCAGAAAGTTTTTTAAATGGCTCAACAGCACTTTGCAGTATAATTTCAAGTAATTTTTGCGCTTTTTAGGGATTTTTTTGACCATTAGACGGTACTAGCAGACATCCGCCACTTTGACATCTCTTTTTCAGGTTAACAAGCACAAGACATGACACTCAAAATTAATGGAAATTTCATCTCAACTGAACTCCATGCAATTTGATCAAATCGTGAATCCCATATGATTACCTACCAGAAGATAAAATAAATATCTATTGAATGCAATTGCATAAAGACTTTAGGTACAGTAAATACTTCGAAGTGTAGGTTTCGTTTGCAACAATAAAGAAAAGAAAAAAGTACTTTGAAACCCTCGGAGTCGCCCGTGTGCCAGTCTGTGCAAGTCTGTGCCAGTGCCCTGCCAAGGCCGTGCCAAACCGCGTGGATTCCGGCACGGCGCTGGCACGCAGATTCAACACGGGCAAATCTGGATAGTGCCTGAGTAGATTATTTATCACTCATGAGAACCCATTTTATAAGAACTCTCCACACAACCTTTCCATGAAATGTCTATAATATATACTCATTTCCTGGGTTCCGAAGTTAAAAAAAGACCCTTAATACTCCTTGGATAAAAGTGATGGCAGCAGGTTCACTGAAGGTCTTAATTGAATGAGAAAGCTCGTCTGCCACCGTAGGCAGAGCTCTAGCAGAAGCCGATGTGGTGTCTTTTGAAGAATTCGAATGGTTTCGAGCTGAGAAAAAATCCTTCTAAACTTCATAATACACTAGAAATAAATCTTAGGTAAACAGTCCATCGGCAGTGCCGATGTGGCCCGGTAAAGAAATGTTGGCCTGAAGCTCGGTCAGTTCAAGTGACCTGAAACGGCGGCCTGAATAGAGTTTTGTAAAATGAGCTTATGCTACCATTTTTACCATTTTACCATTTCTTTACCATTTTTTTTATCATTCTCACATCTTCATAGCACGCTACCCCATGCTATGAAAATGCAACGTGACAGTTGCATTTTCAGCCCGAACACCCCTACAGCGTCCCTGTAAAGTGCCGCTGTAGGGGTGTTCGAGTTGAACTTACGGAAACATTGTGCAATGAAAACCATTAAAGGAAATGCAAATTGCTCGTGAGTTACTTACGATACGCGTCATTTGACGTAACCCAGCAATACCAGAACGCAGCTAATTTGAGCAACGATTATTTTAGTTTCATTTCAGTCTCCCTTATATGAATAACTTATTTATTTATAAAATCGTGACGATGGATTTTGCTGCGGACTTTGCGCCCATAGGAGCACAAGACGCTCACACAAGAAGGCATCAGCTCAATGTTCAGCTCAGTCACTTCCAGTGTTTAGTTATTATCATACGTAAGCAAAAAAAAACCATTTGACTAGAGATGAAAACCAAGAAAATGCGGTTTCCGGAAGTGGCGAGCGTGTCGCGCGCGGTCGCGCCATCGTCACGATTTTTCAGATGCCCTATAGTTCATTTTGTTTCAAAATGATGGACATGCTGCGCAAAAATAATTCGGCTTGCTATGCTCATCCTTGACCGCCAGAAAAAAAGTATTGTTTGCAACCTTCCCAAGGCAAATTTTGATTTTTGTCATAAGAACTAGAATTCCGAACGACGACAAAACACAGTATTAAGCAAAACAAAAATCCAACACCTTCTTATTCCTTGCCCGTGTTCAGATATTGTAGATATGGCGACCCTGACAGGATGTTGAACCATATTGGATTTTTTCAGCAGATAATACTTTTCTAACAAATTTAAAATTTTGTTACACATTCAATGTGTTTGAACGACAGCTCTCGAGAGATTTATTAGGAATTTCGTATTAAAACAGAAAAATTGTTATTTTCAATATGTACATGAGGACTTGCCATTTGCCAAAAAAGACTACATACTGTTATTTACAGGCGACTCAGCCGCGTTCAGCTCGTCATTCGTCACTCATTTCGAACCTAAAATTATAGTATAGTCCTGGTTCCTACAGTATATCGCGAAAAATCAAAGCGAACTAGTTTCATACAGTAGCGTGACCTCCACACCCCCCTCCCCTCCATAAAAGTTTGGTAGATGACTATTTTAAAATTATCCTGATATCAGCTAGTATGGCTTAGAATTCTGTAGTATCTTAAAAGGAAAATTTCAAACGAATTGACTACTTCAAAAAATCCCAAGCAAACTAACCACATAGCATGACCCTCATATCCCTCCCCCCCCCCCCCCCCTCCCTCCACAAACAGAATTTCATACGGATGACTGCTTTGGAGATTATCCTTATATTTGCAAGACAAGCTACTCCGACGAGTAGATACCGTTTCCGAAAACCTTTCATACCTCCTCAGACAAAAGTTCTTTTCAAATCTCAATCACACATTTTTGTAGTGATTGTGGAGTAGCAGTAAGGATGTAAACAAAATGTTAGCACCACTCCAAATCAAAATGTTCAGGGATAGACGGACGATCGCACCTTTTTCGCGCTTTTAGCGGTTTTCTCGGTATTCTTGGCTGGACTCACTTCCTCTGGCAATGGACTGCGTTTCCATCTGGGATTTGCTACCAGAATCATGACGATTAGTGTATATAAAAATACACAGACGCCAAGAAGATTTGAGACAAACTGTGGTCCACAGAGTTCATGTCCTTTCGTCCAGCAACTGCAAAAAAAATTCATATAATCTCTCTATAATAAAGCGCTAGAGATGACTCATGCATGTAAGATACCCCCCCCCCCTTCGTGGTCGCGATTCGGATGTCAACAACTTTGTCGTTATGTGCCGGTGCAGATGCACCGAGCTGTGGCTCATGATGATAGTGGCGCCTGTCTTAGACGATGTTAATCGAGAAGCCTAACCAGCAAAGTGGCTTGGTAGACAAGCTAAATGCTGGAAAGGGAAGAAGGTTACTTAGTCCTGTTTTCGTTATGCATTAGATTACTATATCAGTTAGCGAGCAGCAATACCAGCTTCCGCTAGCAAGGTTTTGGAGTTTTGGAAAACATCAGTCAAAATATAGAAAGCATATTGGATGAGGTACATAAATCATTGTGAGCTGAAGGAAAGCAAGATGAAAGTCTCCAATGCTGGAAGTACGAAAAATGTGGTTTGAATACCACAAAATTGAGATTTGGGGTAGAGTAGAGGAAGTTGATATGAAAGAGGGAAGGGGACAGGGGGAGTGGGCAAACTTGGAGAGATTTGCATTTTGACTCCAGCAAAGGCAAAGGTATACGCACGTTCCCAAGCAAATCAGAGATCAAAGCTTTGAGCGTCCTGACAGGAGAAGCTGAAGAATGGTTTTTGGGGTGTAGTCGAAAGGTAAATGAATACTAGCAAAATGTAGTGCAAACACTTTGATATTGCTAAATTTACATATTGATATTGGGAACATTCAGACTTTTTCAATGAAAGGAATGAGTGCCAGATTTTTCCCTGATCTCAAAGGGGCCGGGGACCTTTCCGCACGGTTTTTCGAAAAACATTCATTTGGGGGGAAAATAAGTAATAGAAAAGCGGAAAGTGCGTTGGAAGGTTGAGATTACTCTCGCCGGGTATACATAAATTTTTAGATTAGATTTAAAAATCTAATCTAAAAATTTAAAAACTCAAGAATATGGATAGTGGGGCACAATTTTGAAGAAATAAGGAATTAGGAAAATGTGAAGAACTTTTGAAGGGGACTTTTCGGATAGAAAGCAAAATATGCTTATGCTGATAAGCCTACAGGGCGGGGGGGGGGGAGATTGAAAACAGGAATGGGGATTGCAGCACAGTGTCACAGAAGAGCTTTCAATTTTTTCCAAAAAGTTTTTCAGATGACTCAGCAGATTTGACTATTTTAGACCCAGCAAGCTGATGTTCTAAAGCTGTGTATCTTCCATATGCCAAAATTCGGAAAGCTAAGCACAGCTCTGCTGTTATATTTCATTCACCTTAACATGTAAAACCTGTAGAAATTTCACTTATTTCCCGTTTTTGCTATTAGCAGATGTTTGCAGACACCCACTTCTTGACTAACCTTAAGAAGTGGCAATGTAAATTTCTACGCCATCCCACTTCTAGTCAAACACACGGCCAGACCGATGTGCCGCGAAGCGGCACTTCGGTCTGGTTCTAAAAATAATGGACAATTGGCACCAACTAACGTGTGGTTCCAAGCGGCTCTTTGAGCAATTCCCATTCCTACATTGACAGCTAGAAGTCCAAAAAACCACAGGCCACCTGACTGGTGGAATGGCATGTAAAGCTGGCGAATTGTGAGCGGAAGAACTGGATAGACGAAGCAGGAGAAGGCGAAGGCATACTGTAAAAAGTAAAAAATTCCAAAAAAGTTAAATTTCCAAATTTTCGTAAAGTTACGGCCCGAAAGTTTCGAAAAACGATGGCGGGGGACGACAGATGCTCAAAAATTTTATGGAATCTTTAATTAAACTTTGGCAAAATTTGAAAAATTATTGCAACAGTCCAAAAGTAGGAGTGAGTTATCTGCACGATTTTTTGATTTTATTAGCCAGAAAGGCCAATTTCAAAATTTCGCGACGCACTTTTAAGAAAAGAGGACGAGAAGAAGATGATTACCTGTCCGCCGAGACCGAGAATGACGAAGAGCCCAACCCAAGAGTGGAGTGACATTGC